GTGTGTGTGGAAAGAGAGAGAGAGAGAGAGAGAGAGAAAGAGGGGGGGGGAAGGGGGTAGACAGAGAAAGGAATAGAGAGTATATGAATATATATAGTACATATTATGTGTGTCAGCATGTTTGAGTGTGTGCGTGCGCGCGCGTGCGTGTGTGTGTATGCGTGCGGGCGTGTGTGCTCTCTCGTGCTTTAATTCATTTCCCCTTTCCCCCTGAGCCGTTATGTCGTGAGCTCCTTACTCTTTTGAAATTAAAAAGTGAATGACAGTAAACACATTGAAACTAAAACGAACAAAAGACAGACATCATTCTTATAAATAATCCACGATTAAATAAAGATCTGGAAAGTGTCAACTCTGATTTATATAGGCATATGACATCTAGTAAAGAAGTTGTCAAGAATTTCGATGTATATATTGACCACCACTTATCAACGGGCTCGTTTGTAGGATCTCTGTCCAAATCCCTCTATTCTCTGCCGAGAAGGATAGGCCTAGTTCGAAAGTATTTAAACGAAGAGACAACAAAAACACTGGTAACAGCTCTTATCCTATCTAGATTAGACTGTTGTAACTCACTCTTAGCAGGTCTGAACAACAAATATTTGAATCGTTTACAATTCATTTCAAACAATGCCGCGAGACTGATCACAAGATCTAAAAAACGAGACCTTGTCACTCCACTATTAAAAGAACTGCATTGGCTCCCTGTAAAAGAAATAATAATATTTAAAAATCTGTGTCATGTGTTTCAAATGTGTAACTAAAACTGCTCCTTTTTACCTACAAGAACTTATCAGTATATATATATATATATATATATATATATATAAGAGAGGGAGAAACCTAAGGTCATCGAACGATAACACCCTACTTGTGACGACACCCGTAAAATCATACAAATCATATTATGGAGAGTGATCTTTCTCATATCTTGGTCCATTTATCTGGAACAGATTACTAATGGAACTAAGACAAACAAAAACACAATACTTGATAGCTTCAAAAGACATCTTATGCATTTTCTGTTCCTACAAGCTTTTAACGTTATTTTTTTTATAGTTGTTCTGTGTCTATGTCTGAATGAAAACACATGTAGTCCGCGCGCTGAGCGCGCGCGTGCGTGTGTGTGCGTGTGTGTGTGTGTTTGAGTATGTGAGTGTGTTTGTGTGTGTGTGTGTATGTGTGTGTGTGTGCGTGTGTGCATAAATATAATATTATATTGCATGAGAAGAAAGGAAGTAGTAAGAAATGTTTTGAAAATAGGTATTCCAATGTAAAGCGCATTGAGATACTTTTTTGGAAAAGTGCTACTTTATATTATTATAAATGTTATATATTATAATTATTATATTGTTATTATTAATCAATAAACACTGACGCCTCCTTCAAACTGCTACATGTATTGTTGTCGATGCTGCTGCTGAAACGTATAGTTTCATGCTTCTTTTTGGGGCCATACTAAACTTTTCCACAGCTAAAATGATGTAAGGGGTGAACAAAACCGGTCGAAGAGCTAACATTTGAAAAAGAAAAAGAAAAGGAAATAGAAATTTTTAAAATTGAAAGAATAAAAGAACATAGAAAAAAAAGATGTGGTGGGG